TTACGTTATGAATCATAACCGGATTTTTTTTATTTGATTGCTATAGTGTTCAGTTCAGTTCGAATCGAACCGTGGCCATCCCTATGTATAAATAATAATTTGTTGAACAAGAGAAATAAATAAAATATTTATTTTAAGGGTAAAAATGTCTATTTAATATTATCAGGGGGAAAAACCGCCACTTTTATAATAATTGAGGGGGCAAATGTGGATGCATGAATAACTCAGGGAAAAAAAATGCTATAAGCATATAACATAGGGGGGAAAAGTGTCATTTTTCCTTTAATTTAATAATAATAATTCATCCGTATAAATGTATAATGACTACAGAATAACAGAATGTAAGGTGCAAATTTTTTTAAAAAAAAAAAAAAAAAAAAAAAAAAAAAAGGTTATAAATCACGCTAACAGTAAAGCCAACATGAACTGGAGTTTGAGGCGTGGAATTGGGTGAGAGTTGAGAATGCCAAAGTCATCTTCCATACATTCATATCTTCTTGTTGCTTGCAAGGTATCATATGAGCATTCATTTGAGCTGAAGAAACCCTCTTCAACAATTGCAAGCATCACTGCGGCAATGCAGCAACACCATAACAACAACTTGGCAACAATGGCGGCGTCCATACTCGATCTCTCAACACTCCTCACTTTTACATTCAAAATATATAATTCGATTTTCTATTGTTTGTGATTTTGCGATTCAAATAATCAGTGAATTGAAAAAAAAAAAAAGTGTTTGAACTCAGAGGAGTAGATTCACTGATCAATCAGTGCTCCGCACTGCAATTCTGATCCACATTCCCCCCACCTATTTATACTCTAGTTTAGTAAAGGGTAGAATGACGAATGAAGCCCTGCCCAAGTACCAACCGTTTGACATTAATACATATTTTAATTAATTTAGAAGTTTTTTATTTTAATTTACGAGAAAACTCGCCACCGCCACATATGTATTATGGATGGAGCTCACATTGTGACTCTAACTAGTAAAGAATCATATCGAAGTTAATCAGCTTAGATTATTTATAGTTGAGTTGCTCAAACTGAGAAGTCCAATAAAATTGTTTCTACTGAAAAATAAATTTAAAATCTTATAATTATCACCTATTTGAACGGGGTACACCTATTAATTTAGAATTGTTCATCCATGATCCATAGACGCCGCATTTGTGCATGCGTTTGTGCATGACTTTAGGAGCACTAGGTCAATTAGTCAAGTCTGGAGGACTTGGGAATTGGGGTAGAATATGAAGTCTAGCTTAACTATAATCACGCTACAACTTTTTAAGGTTAGCAATTTTAGGTTTCAAAATTATTATTTTTAATTTAAATAAAATTTAAAATATAGTTCTAGATAAAAAATATTAAACAATTAATATTTATACTTTAGTTTTGAAAAATTATAAAAATACACATTTATATCTCTTATTTCTATATACTCCGTACTTTTTATTTTTATATACTTTATTATACCTTATGGTATAATGGCATCGCTGTTATTTTTCGTAAGAGAGATTCTACCACTATACCGGAATCAGGTTGACATATAGTACAAATGATGAATTCCATGCTCAAATAATTTCTTGTAAACAATCAAATTTTTAATAAAATAACAATCATGCTCAAATTTCCAATCAAATTCACCTTGTGCTCAGATGGCACCCAGGTTGGATTCCCATATGGGAGATTGTCTCAGTGGAGTCGTTATTGGTTCTTTGTGCTTCAGTAGGTTCAGAAAGTATTAGTAGATTAATACGACCACACTATAGATAAAGCTTATCTTTGCTAAGAACAATACAAAACACCTACCAATCCAGAATGTGCCATGTGCCATTTCCTCTTGAGAATAAGGGGAGCAATGACAACCCAGAACTCCACAGCATATGAAATAGTAATAATAGAGAAGAAAACCAAAGCCTCTCTTTCCCTTGATGTTCTTGAGCAACACTCTAAAATGCGCAGGCATTTTGTAATGGTCACATTACCTTCATATTGGGATATTGTGAAGGCGTCAAAACTTATTCCAATAGGATTCTGCAATGAAGATTATTGAAAGCCACACTGAAAGTTGCAAAACAGATCAAGATGTACAATTATACAAATGCTTGGTGGGTGCTTCCAAGTTCCAACTAGCTGGTTATGAGAGAGATCTTAACAAAAATGCAAAATATGTACAATGCTAAAACTCTAAAAGTACAAACAAAGATCATTCACCTCAGTACATTCGTGTGAATGATATTTGTTACCTTCTGGAATGACCCAACTGCCTATATGCTTGATAAATAGAGAATACAAATCATTGAAATGAGATAATGAATTCGCATTTAGATCCCATATTCCAAGTTCAAGTTGCCTTGTAATGTAAAAACCAAGAACCTGACAACAAATTTGACACTAAGCACAGAAGATACCAGCCTACGCACAACAATTTCCATCTAGCCATTCATTCAAAGTTGCAGAACCAATTGGAATTTAAGAGCCTTCTTCTACTCGTCCGAATGTCCAAAAGTCAGATAATCATATAAACGGAAGCATAGTTATAACCAGAATAGACGGGGAAAACAGGAATGCATAACAGTTAAAACCAGGCTTCATACTGAAATTGGAGCACCGCATTAATTAAGATTTTGATTTACATGCTTCCATTACCATCACCATTGTCACCAACATCTCAAATGGAGCAATAACCATCACCATTGTCATCCCCCTATCTCAAATGGTGGAATCACCATAAGTCCATAACCATTATCATCCTCCTATCTCTAATGTTGCAAAAGGTCAATGCAGGCAATACTCCATAAGATGTTAATCATTAAGAACCAATTTAGAAGCTTCCATATTTGAAACATCCACATACACGAAAAATCAAGCTTATGAATATATTACAGATTAAGGAATTTAGGACGTGAACAAGAATTTGATTAAGGAATACAGGGATTACTTTTACAAATAGTAGTCTTTTGCAAGTATCAAACAGCATTATTGTTGAATTTCATCTAGAGTGAAATCCAATTAGCATTAGAAGGTACAAGCACAGGTTGTATAAAAAGTTATCCCTGAGGATGGGAGAAAAAGGAAAGGAAAGGAAAGGAAAGGAGATGATACATTTTGGCAATGACTAAGAAGTCAAACGAGCAAGAGCATCCTGGGCGGCGGAGTAGTCTGGCTGGATTTTAAGAGCGTCTTCGTAAGACTTTCGGGCCTCCTCGCTCAGCTCTTTCTTTTCATAGCACTCTCCTAACAGACAAAGCCCCTTGACATTATCGCCCTTCAACCGCACCGACTCGATCAGATCCTCAACGGCCGAGTCAATTTGCTCGCCCTTACTCACCGCGAGCTTCAATTCCGCCCGTTTGTGCAGCGCTTCCGCCCTCTCGGGGAGGCTGAGCGACTTCGCCGCCAGCGGCGACAGCGCGACGTTCATCGCGTCGAGAGCTGAGGTCTTGAACCCCTGCACCTCCAGAGCCATAGCCTTGAGCAAATGAAGAGCGGCGTCCTTGGCGTCGATGCCGATGGCTTTCTCGGCTTCTTCTTCGGCTGACTTGGCCAGCGTCATCCTCATCGACGACGACAGGTCCTTGGCCGTCCTGGCTTGAGCCAGACGCTGCGCGCCTAGGACGAAGTGGCGCCTGGCTTGGATAGTACGGGCTTGTCTCCGCATCTGCAGCTTAGAGTAGAGATTCTGGGGGATGTTATGCATAAACAGGTACGTGAAGATGGAAATCAAAATCAGAACAGCCTGTAGAAGAAGATCGGTCCACATCTTGCTTATACTTTGATTACTTTCTCTCAATTTTTCAGTAGAAATGAATGAACTTGCTAATTCCGATCGCGGTTCGCGGAGGCCATATATTGCCTTAAAACAGTCAGAAAAGTCAACTTATATTTGCTGGTAGCTGTTTTATCTTGACCGCTTTACAACCCTAATCAACAACGGAATATTGGCTTGGGGAAATTGCTACATGCACCGTAAAGTGAGGGTTATGATTATGTCAACATATGTTCTATACATAACAATAATACTGTTACTCCCTTGTCACCTAAAATAATAATAATAATAAACAGTCCTATTTTATTGGCTTGGGAAAGTGCTAAACTTTTTTATATATTTATGTCATTGTTATGTCAACATATAAATTATACTCCGTAGTATACAAGATAATTCTATTTTTTTTTCTTACATTTTTTATTCAAAAAATAAATCACAATATTCATTTCTTTCATTTTCTTTCTTTCTTGAAGAAGTGTCAAATAGGCTCATATACTATTATCAAGTGCTCAATTTCCACCATGAAGTAAATTAAAGACTAATTAACCACACTTACGACTTACCTACTAAATTTGTTCAATTAACTTTTCTTACCGGTAATTATTTTTTTTTTGCAGGTTAACCAATTCAATTATTAAAAAAATAATTTAAAAATTATTTATATATAAAAAAAAAGAATACAGCCATGGGCTGTCCTCGCCGGACAGCCACAGCTGTCTTTAAAATGGCAGCCACCGCCGGTGACTGTATTTTTTTTTTTTAATTTATTTATTTTCATAATTAAATAGGTACCATGTTATTAACCTGTAAAAAAAATTAATTGGACAAATTTAACTCATAGATGAATTTATTTGACACTTAATTAGTTTGTGATGAAAATTGAACACTTTGCAATAGACCAGTAGTAAATGAGCCTATTTAACACTTGTGTCTTCTTTCTTCCAATTAAATCAAGTGCTTTTAATAATTTATGTGTTAAAAAAAAAAAAGCACAGAAAAGTGATTATGTACATCTAAAATTATATTTTTATAATGATCACATTAAATTTGTGCATCTATTGATGGAATTGTCAAATAGTTCAATGCATTTAATCTTACAAGCCAAACAGCTCATAAGATGACTTATAGGAATGTAAATCACTATAATTATTACATGACTGTGGAGTAATTAGGAAAGATAAACACCTTAGTTACTATTAACAGTGATAAATTACTAAAACGGCGTTTGAGATTTTGAACAGGGAAATTATCTTGCACTGTTTCATCGACTTGAAAGATAAATAAACATACATTTGGTATAAATCTCTAATTACACAGTTCAGATCAGGCTCCACAAAAATACGTTAAGACGCCTTTGCACTGTGTAATTGCAAGTTTCAGCTCTAACAGATGGTCAGATGCTGTGTTATCTCCAATAAGTTAGTTAAGAGAAATATTTATACTTGATTGATAGATCCCTCTAGGGTTCGCAGACTTCCTCAAAAACATAGTCTAATATGCTTCAAAGCATTAATTATATATTGTTGCAAATTTCCTTATGTTCCTCCCATCTGAATCAATTTCAGAGGAGACTTCAATAGCTTCTTTAATGTATCCACGATGCTACTGAAGGATGGGCGCTGGGCAGGGTCACTGCACAAAGGAACAACATAGTAAGGACACAAATGAAATTCATAGAACATAATCAGTAAGAAACCCCAAAATAAAAATTCATTGACAGTACAAGTAACAAAGTAGCTATATAAACAATCATCTTTAGAGTATGCATTGAAAGTATAAGAAAAATCCTGACAGAAATGGAAGTTTTTAGAACATGCATGTTTTACTTACTCATTCCAACAAGCTTCCATCAGGGATGCCAATACTGGAGAAATGTTCTGTGGGATGGAAAGCTTTCTGTTTTGGAAAGCAACAGCTCCAACCACCTGAAAGAACAGGAACAAATGTTAGGAGATGAGGCAGAAACAGCAGAGCAGGTGGGGCTTTATATATGTTAAATCCTATGAACCTGAGCAGGGCAAAGTCCACTCCAAGGCTGTTGCATGGTAACAAGCTCCCATAAAATCACACCAAAACTGTACACATCAGACTTCTCATTTGAGGGTTCCCCGCGAAGGAATTCAGGGGCCATCCACTCAGGCTGAAATGAAAACAAGAGTTAGATGCTGATTGACTGCAAGAGTTGAACCCAAATTCGAGATGTTCTACTGAGACCCATTGTAGATGCATCAACATGTTGGAAATCATGAGCAAGCAGATGAAAATAAAAAAAGCACCAGCGTAATTTAAAAGCAACAAACAATACTTCAAAATAAATGATGCTTAGAGTGAGAATATTATTAATCCAAACCTAGAAACAAACACTAGCAAAACCAACGACTATGCAGCTAAGTTGACATTTATCAAGCACAATCACTATCAGCAACTAAGTACTACAAGAGGTTTTGGGGGAAAAGAAAGAGAAGCAAGCAACAGGCTTTCATGCCATGGGTCAATGGAAAAAAGGTTTAAACTTAGCATTCATTGCATTCAACATGGCCCAAATAATTTGTGATGATAAGCTTCAAATATAATAAATGGACCAATGTGACACACAGGATTAAAAACAAAAAACCTTCATATCTACATAAAGTACAAGAACCCTCCAAATAAAATTTAATATGCTCATGCTTATCTTTTTTCTAAATGTAGCTATATTGGAGAAAAATAGCCAATATTTAGGTGCAAGAATGGACTTACTGTTCCAGCAACAGATTTGGATGATATGAATGTGTTTGCTTTAAACCTTGACAGACCAAAATCGCAAACCTGGGGATATTGAACCAAGTAATGTTATAGGTATAAGTTATAACAGAAAACAATCTCATAATTCAGTAGAGTAGATTGCATTCTTTTACCTTCACAGTCCAATTCCTGTCCACTAATAAATTAGGAGATTTAAGATCCCAGTGAACAACAGGCGGACTAAGACAATGAAGATAGTTGATACCCTTGGCCTGCATATATATATATAAAAAAACATTATAGCTCAAATTACTAGCAGTCACAAGAAAGAATATTTGAAGTTGGCACAAACCACATCCAAAGCCATGCGTAACCGCCTCCTCTGATCCAATATTTCTCCTGCAGCTGGCCGGTGTATCAGGCGGTATAGGCTTCCTCTGTTCCAAAAGAAGGCAAAACAATGTTCAACAAAAATGGTAGTTTTCAGAATGCTTTTGGGAGTTAATACAGAGGAAAAGAACCAAATACCTAGGTAGATATTCTGTCACTATAGATAGATGTGGACGTTTAGTGACTGCACCCATGAAGAGAACAACATTTGGATGGCGGACACGTTTCATAATTGCAACCTTCAAAAGAGAAAGCTTGTTAAATGAATGTTCAAAACCCAATACTTGGTTCAAAAACTCACTACACTGAACACATATACAAAGATGAAATTGGCACATGTTTGTGTTCCACCTGATATAATGCACTTCTCCCATTAAGCATATATGCAATGAAGGAATCAAAACTGCAACATCTAGACAGGTATTAGATGCACTGCCTATACAAATTACAAACATGAAATCCACTTTCCAATAGTACTACTAAGGTAAAGCTTCAGCTACATAGAATCTTATATTTCTTAATGACTCCCTCCTCTTTTCCATTACCATATAGAAAGGAACAATTCTTTAATGACTTTAAGAAACATAAAATGCATGGATGCTAGAAAAAACATTAGGCTTGCCAAAGAAATGCAAAGAAATTAATGATTTTGATCATCAGCTCAACCAATGAAGGTACATACCTCCCTTAGAAACTCCCTCAACTGGTCATCATGAAAATCTTGGAGACTTAGCACCTTGACTGCAACGTCCTGCAATGGTTTATTTCTTTTAGTTTACGATAATATATGGAGCCTTGAAAACATATGCCATGATAATAATCCCTAAATAGAATGTTCAATCCAATAAATCTATGCAAAATCGACATCCTAAACTTGACACTAGCTTTCTTTTAAGTTTGTCAACAACATATAGTTTATATTCACATACTTCTGGAAGCCCAACCATTGCTATTGCTTCCCGGAAATCAGAAATCGATCCCAATTCTCCCCAACTTGTGAAGAAATTAAGTTCGTTTCTGATTAAAATACTTCTAAACCACACAAATATTTTAAAATTATTATTAAAATTTTGAGGTCATTACAAAAATATACTGTTGTCATTGTAATTTGGATGAGAGAGCATCAACATGTGGTATGTATAGTTACAGAAAATTACATTTTGACTTTCGTACTTTAACAGCTTAAATTTGTGCTGAAATGAAAAATGATTATTATATGTAATAAAATAATTACTAGCTGAGGTCATCAGCATTGTCTAAGCTCATTACTTCAATCAACCACAAATAATTTCTTCTTTCTGAATGACCTCCTCCTCAATAGTACATTGTTAAAATGATTTAGCCATCCCGTTTATTTTCTGCAGATGCCCACTGAACCATTTGCTAGATGAAGTTGGCTCAGATAGCTCAGCACCAATTATAATGCTCAAACTCAATATATCATTGGTTAAATTTTTTTGATACCCTCATATGTTCCTATTTCAAAAGGAGCAAAGTGTTTCCTACGTACCAAGGTGGGATTTAACTGAATCCTCAAGTAAAATCATTTACTACAACAGAAGATTTAAGTGTATATTACTAACCGATCCATTCCATTCCGCTCGATGTACTGTCCCAAATGAACCTGCATAATAGAATTACAGCAAGTGTTGATATGAGGAAACTACAATCTGATAACATTGACAAGACAATTTATGTAACTTAATACAAAAATCTCAAGAATAAAATGAAGTAGAAAGAAGGAAACTGTACCAGCACCAACACGCTCCTTAATATGTAATTCATCCCATGAGATCTCGAGCCAATCCATTGCAAGAGAAGGTTCAAGATTCAAGTATTTTGGAATGGTTGCATCAGGATGTTTCTCCTTATTCTCAAGGCTACTCTCAACCTCTAATACATCTGATTTACCAGTAAAAGAAGTTACTTTAGGAGGCCTACTAGAACATATAGGTGGTCTAGATAGAACATTCTCCTTTCTGTAAGTCTGTAGTAGAACAATTTTATTATCTTCTCCAGGTTTATTACATTCATTTCTCATAATTCCACCAGCGGTAGTGTTAACTTCTTTAGGTGATTCAATTTCAGACGGTTGATTTGGACTGCACCAGTCATTCTTGGGCTTTTCTACAAGGACAATGTCATGAACTTGATGATTTTCTTCTTCTGTTCATGCAAGGATGAAGAACGTAATGAGTTTCTCCAGTGATAGCAGTGTATATGAAAAGAAATAGAAGGAATTTCCAAAGTACTATCCGCACCCTTAATAAAATTTGTTCAGCTTTGAAAAGCAACATAGAAATTTCTAATCTGTAGCCAGCAAACATTTAACCCTTCAGTAGTTCATGTAGCAGACATAAACAGAAACATCCTTTGTATGGCAAGGTACTGAATATACTGGAACTACAAATTTCTATTGAGATGATAGTATGAAAAAAACTACTGTTTAATCCAACACAGTGGGACTCATTTAACTTCTACTCCCAAGGAAATTGCATCTATTCATTCAACCTTTACAATATTATTTATTGAGTCACATTCACAACAAGTTGTTCATCACATAATCATGCAGAACTTGGTAGCAAAGTTCAAGGTTTGAAAACTACAGAATACCTGGATAGGTAACAATTTCCGGAGAAGGAAGTCCACAATTTGAATTCAGTAGTTGAGAACTTATATCATCATCCAAGTAAGGTAGCTGAAATTCCTTCAGATGAGCAATTTGAAAGGGCGAAGGCACAAATGAAAGAACACTTCCATTGACAGATGAATCTGGGCCATGGACATTTCCTGGTTCCCCAACTAGATCAACTACAAATTCCCTGCTAAGACAAAGTAGAAACTAGTTGCAATAACTATTCCAGCCATGAAGAAAGAATGAAATCCACAGGAAACAGACGACAAGAAGCTACTTTTTTGCTCCTCAATGCTTCCTCTGTCACCCTAAATCTAGTTAGTTTGACAACTTTGGAGATCAGGAAAATTAGTTTACCTAGAAAATTTTTTGTCATCCTCAATTTTTATGAGACATGAAGATCGATGATCTTCAACACAATACTTGCAACCTCTAGCTATCCTGCAAGGCAAACCCACATAATCCGCCAATTTCTGTAGAGAAGAATCAAGAATAATCACTTAGATACCAATACAGAGAGTAATAGGTGCAAGAGATTGAAAATGTCCAACAAATCATTGGCATTTTCTCAACAAGTAAAAGGTAGGCCTCAAGAATCACCTTGAATAAAATAGCCCTATGCCTGCAAAGCCCTGTTGATAAGTTGCCAATTGGGAGCACGATGCATTTCTGAAGATCCTTAAGTCTCTTGCTGACAATTTTCCAGCGCATGTAAAGATCACCTTGCTCCACGGGAAAAGATCCCCTTAAATTCAACAAACTTAACAGTCTCATAAAGAAGCAAACGGAGGCTCAACAAGCATGCCAATGAAAAAACATACACTCACCCCATATGGACAGCCACGAGTTTTCCAAGCTTCTCTGCTAATACTAGTGTATTTTCTGCGGCAAAAAATATTTCTTGAGCTTTATCCTCTAGTTCCCTGAGCTTTGAGTCCCCACGCCGATCAATGAGGACCACTTCCATCGGTGTGTCACTGGGTTCAACACCTTTAAGTGCCATGAGCGATGGTAATCTACTACTACCTTCCTCCAAGTTATTGCACATCACCCACAAATATGGATTCATTCCCAGGATGTTATAAAATCCATCTGATATCTTGTCAGCATAAGACAAGCAGCCGCTTACCTGAAAATTCAACAAGGCATTTGACTGTCACACATTTAATCTTTGAGATGTGCCAATAACAATTCACAAACCTTCATAATGACCTTGGATTTGAACCACAGCTTAAGATGTAACCACTTCGAATAAATGAAATATACAGTTCTATATTTGAAGTGGCAGACCGATATTAGTACTTCATAACGAAGTACTCTGCCTGTACTTACCCAGAGGCGGAACGAAACAGTCTCAGGATCGGAAGATCCTGCAAGACCCTTAACACTTATGAATTCTCGTAGAAGCAGAGGCTCATCACCAGCAAGAGTTGCTTGCTCCACAATCCTTTTTGCAAGCGTGAGCTGCAAGTAATAGCTCTCCTTCGACCTCGGTACCAGTTCATCCCTCTCTTCTGGACTGGTTTCCTTAGCGGCATCCTCTACTTCTGCCTCTGTGATGGTCGAGGTATTTGAATCCTTGACTCCGGTACTCGGCCAGTTCCCATCCAATGTTATCCCCGAAAACAAACTCGCAGCATAGCTAGTGCTCCCCGCACTTGAAAGCCGCTGCAACGATGCTTGCCTCTCAATACCAAGCACCTTTTCCTTCCACAGTACACTACTATGATTGCTACCTGTACTCGGTAGCCTCTGCAATGGCACCTGCCTCTCGAAACCTGGTCCCTTCTCTTTCCTTGACACCCCACTGTAGTTGCTGCCACTACTGGATAGCCGCTGTAACGACGCGTTGTGGTTTTTCGGCCTAATTGATGGTTTCTGTTCCTGTGGAGAGTGGTCAGAGTCGACCACTTTTGGTACCGCCTCCGGCGGAGTCGGAAGCAAGAGAAGGCTGTATTCATCACATTCCTCCTCCTCCTCACCGCCATCTTCTTCTCCCACTTTGGTCTTCACGTGATGATTCTGATGTGGTGATTTTTCTTTTTCCTTCTTCTCCGCCAACCAATTCACGAAAGCGGCCAATTGCTTCCCGTGAATTTTGTCTCCTCCCGTGATGCGATCAGATACATTGGAATATGGCAAATCTTCGGAATCTTCATCCTCTAGCTTAGTGAGCTGTTTGAATGCGACCTCGCTGCCCTCCTTGGAAGACTTTCCTCCATTTTGATCAGCGCCGATCTTCTTCTCGTGATCTAGAAGAAACTTTGTCGACGATGCATCGTATCCGCCTCTGTCCGGAAATTGCCTCGGAAAGAAGTAAGTCGTTCTATGCGGCATTTTCACAAACCTCACGTGAACTCCCAAAAAAGTTCACCCGCACGCTTCTCTCTCCCTTTCCTTCCCTCTTCTCTCTCTATCCTCAACTACCAGCAAGCTCCCAAGATGGCGACAGCTCCGGACCCCAACCGCCGTCACAATATCTGCAAAATTTCCCGACTCAAGTTAACGGCAACGTAAATTAACAATACATTCAAGTATTCAACTTCAACTCATCAATGATCATAAGGAAACGGAAACTGATACAGCATATGAAGTAATACTTGAGAAAACACGGACGCTGGCCTTCAACCTTGATCCTTCATCCTTTGCATATAAGCACAGTATATATAACTATATAGAACAGTACAGAAAATCAAACACAAAGTTCAATGAACTGAAACTTTGACAACTCTTTAGATCGGAGAAGGAGATGAAACTCAGCAGAGCTGTTTTGGAGATACAAGCGGTGAAGGTGTTAGCTAGGGAGACACGGCGGTGAACAGAGAGATACAGATAACCGTGATTTTTTTAAGTATATAATATGAAGAGAGATGAAGAGAGATAAAAGGGGATGGAGACGGTGATGAGGAAGAAGAGAAGGGAGGGAGAAACAAATGACAGATTTTAGCTGAGTTATTTTAAGAGCGAGTAGCAGAATGGTTGGGGAACGTCTAACCGAAGAAATGAAAAGCAGTGGGAAAATTGAAAAAATAAGCGCCAGGTGCTAACGTACGCGGCCTGGGTAAATGCCCACCGTTTCCTCACAGTAGCGCACGTCAGGTTTAACCATGCTATACTTTTGACGCGTGGGCTGTGACATGTTTCCACGGCGCATGTTTAGGATATGGGTAAAGATAGAAAAGTGAATCTCTTGGTATAAAATTGCGAGTCGGATCACATTTCATCTACTTAATTAATTTTTTAATATTTCTAATAGTGAGTTCAGTTTACATTTTAAGTTGTAAATTATAAATATTATAGTGTTATATTTAATATAAATATACAAATGTAGTTAATTTGTATTAATATTGTGAATTTTAATGTTAATTGTACTTAGTATAATAAAGTATTCTATACAATGCGTTATCAGTCTCGTTTGAACCATATAAAATTTCTTATAATTTAATATAGTCTATATATGTATGATTTCAACATTAAAATAACAAATAGCCATACACATATTAGTCTAGTAATTAAAAAATTGTGTAAAACTCTTCCCCAAAACTATTGCCCAATTGGATTAAGGGACGCATTGGGACCTGCAATTGGGTTTTTGTTTTCCTAGCTTTTGACTATTGACCTTGTGATCACCTTGCCCAATTTGGTAGGTTGGATGGATGCATATTGCATAGTTTATTCATACCTTTAAAAAATGTTATTTGCATTAAACTTTTATCAAACATCTTATTTAATGATATAGCATATTGTATATGTCATAGTTATTTTATACTAACAATTGTTTATGAATTAATTGATTTTATCTTGAATGAATTATATCAAATGATAAAAAATTTTATATTGTTGTTTCTGTAATGTATTATATTTCACCACCAGTTTTCCCATTTTATTTACAAACTAAATAATTGTTAAAGTACTTGAGATTACAAGTTTGCATATTCAATATTCATTGTTTGATAAAATTATATTTATGTCTTTCATATCATTGAATAAAATACATAATAAAATTTCATTGAAAATACAAGCTGTTATATATATATATATATATATATATATATATATATATATAGGCTCAGGTAAAACATGGGAATAAATCTAAGCTGTTATATGTTCAGATTAACGGCTCTAAAACTATTAGGCTTCTAATCTACTGTCTTTGCATTGTGTTCAAATCTTTGAAGGCTCAACAACGTGCACCGGAAGGCACAACAACGTGTTCCTGTTCAAGTGAAACAAGTTTCTCGTAAAAAGCGCGAAATAATCTCATTCGACCATATATGATGATCAAGGACTACAAATTAAGAAAAAACTGCATTGTTAAGTGTTATGATGCATTTGGAATCGTTTGATAGTATAAGAGAGGATAATTGACAGTGCATTCATAATCTATAATAGTGCACTTAAGTGTATATGCACTATTAGTTATAGTTATGCACTATCAAATATTTCTCAATGCAATGCAATGATTACAAAAATGTCACATGATTTTTTTCTCTATTGTTTGTTTATGAGTGTTACTCAATCCATGTGAACAAATAAGATTAATCTACACATTTTACAAGGACTTTATTCTTATATGATCTCAGTCGTCCATTATAATTTATTAATAATTAAATATTTTATTTTAAAAAAATGTTAATTTTATAATTATTAAAGATTTAAAAAACGATTCATTTTATAATTATTATAAACTTGAAATTTTAGTAATAGTAAGATTCTAATATTTGATCTTTTAATATTGAGGATGTGAATATAGACTTTTTACATGAAAATGTTTTCACTTTTTTTACAATAATAAAATTGTATTTTTCTCTTTCAACTTTTAACGAATACTTATATTTTTATATACCATATATATGTTATTGGTATTTATTATTTAAAAAGTAATAGTTCTTGGAAAGCTAAACTGCTGCATGTGGCTGAAATATTGGGAGCAGATTAATAATTTGAAGGATTGGTCTGTTGGTGAATGGAAGGGTTGCTTGCTGGCTTGCTGCGTGCTTCAGTTCCCAATTCGTTAGCTTATCAGTTATCACCAATCAAAATAATTCATTTTATGTATTATTTTCCGCTTACATCATGCAGTTAGTTAACACACTTCTGCTGGCTAGCTGGCTCATGGCTGCCCCCCTCCGGCCTCCCCTCTACTGTACAGTTCGTTTCCCTAATTTCATGTATAGTTTCAAAATTAAGGCTTATATATATGGGAGAGCGATAAAATTGAAGCAATTAAAATGGTAAAAATACAATTAAAACGACTCAATGGTTATAACTTATAACATGACGCTGGGTTGGAGAAAGAGAATTATGTAGGAAAGAAATTGTAATTTCAATGAATTATTGGGAATGAAGTAATAATTTAAATTTTAGTGTTTGGTTTAGAGGAATAGAATTATTGGGAATTTTAATTTCAATGTTTGGTATATATAGAGATTGAAAGGGAATAAATAACTTATTAGTTCATTCAAAGTAACTTTTGTTTTTTAGAGTATACGACGTTGAAGCAATTCATCATAATAATCGCTATTCTAAACACAAATATACGATAGATATATGTGCATAATAATAATAATAATCGATCAACTCAAATAAAAAAGGTCATGATACTTATTTTCAGAATTGAACTTGTAACTAATAAGGAGTGAGGTGAGGGGATCGGATGTATGAAATTAGCATGGTTGTGAACACTGGTGTACAACTATTTGAGGGCCTATATACTAGTTGGGACACATCATGTGATTTATCTTGTCCACCGGTCTAAAATATAAAGGGTGATGGACCATAAAATTTGGGTTTAAACTTTTTTTTTTTTGAGAAAAAAAATCAATATAAAAATAAAATTAATGGCATCTTACAAGCTAAGGTGTTTGGTTGGAGAGGGAGAATTACGTGGGAAAATAATTACAATTTCATGGGAGATTAATTATTGGGAATAAAGTGGGAATTTAAATTACAGTGTTTGGTTCACAGAAATAGAATTACTGGGAATTTCAATTCCAATATTTGGTATACATGGGAATTGAAAGGGAGTAAGTAATATAAAGTAAAAAATGTTCGTTGTTGTTGTTAGACATTAATTTTAAGTTAAAAAAGGGGATGGATAATTTTGACTCATCGCTATCTTTTTTCTTCCTAAAATCCGAGGAATTAAAATCATAAGAGGAATATGAGATTTTAATTCCATAAAAATGAGGAAATTACAATTCAATAGAATTGCAATTCCTTTCAACCAAACAAGAGAACTTTGCGGCCTTTGAAATTAAGTGGGAAGGGAATTTAAATTCCCTTCAACCAAACGCCAGTTAGTTGTTAATCTTTTTCTTTTGTATTTTTTGTAGCAATCATTATTCCATAATTAAGGCAGGTCAAATGAATTGTTGGTCCATACTTGAGATTTTGGATAAACTTTATCTATTTACGCAGTGAAAACCCCCCCTAAAGCTAGAGTGGAGACCGCGAATAAGATTAATTATTGTAATGACGCACAAATCAGGACTCGAGACGCCGATGCAACTAATTAATCACGCGCGATTTCCTATCAACATATCTAACTCGTCGACTTCATCCAATCAATTCAATGCATTGAACTTTCAAGAAACATATACTGATCATTTAACAATAGATTAAATTATTAATCTTTGTGGGCAACAATGGATAATTAATCTTTTTTTTTTTTTTTTTTTTTTTTTTTTTTTGTGGTCCACCCAATTTAGTATTCTTCTTCCTCCAAAGTTAGTATTCTATATTAGTTTATGACTATCCAACACTCCATCACAATAAAATATATATCACTATTATACTTACACTACATCACTACATGCATATTCATATACTGATGGATATAGAATCTTTTCATACTCGGTATCATCGAAAGTAAATGATAAAAGTATTGAGTTTATATTTCATACTACCCCGTACAAACTTAAAACTTTGAGACTAACAATTAATACAAAGAAATATGGTACGATGTTGATAAATACTTTAACATTTATGTATATATAGATAAAAACTTTCAAGTGTCGATTGACACATGTGCTTCGCTTTTACCTCATGTACAATTTAAAAATGAATGTAAAAAGTATTGAATTTGCATTCTTTACAATACAAATTTATCAATGATTGATTCTTTTAGTAAAAACATTGATGTCAATTTTAAAATTATTGTAAGCTTTATTTTTTGAAAGTAATTATTGTAAACGAATTTTTAAATTTACAATATTGATAAAATTAACGTTACAAATTTTTTTTATTTTTCACAACTATAACCCTTGATCTACTCAAGTTGATGAATTATATAACTTATCATTTTTACTTAAGAGTATGTTATTTTATATATATATATATATATATATATATAGTTAATTAATTAATTAAGTTGAATTTGGCACTTAAGTTGAAGGTCATTGGATTAGTCTCTTATTGAGTAATTGGTGGTCTGGTGGATTTTCAATTTTCAGTTTTTCATGATATAAATATTCGCACTTGCACGTGAATAAAGTGGGCTTTGCAGGTTGCAGCCCAACAAAGCAAAAGAATGGGCATTTATTATTATTACTTTTTATTTTATATAAAGAAATAAAATTGCTGTTTATGGGAAGATGGGTAAATCTCAATCACTGCTCTTTCTTTAAACAGAAACAGAAATATAATACTTTTTTTAAAGTAAACTAATCAAAATATCCATTATTTGCTTAAAGTGCAAGCCTATTGCTCATGCCACTGATATAAGCATATGCCCTACCAGCCTACATGGTTCTCTACTACCAAAAATTCAAAACATGGATAAATTATCCTGAAAGACGAACTGAGAAGGTGGAATTTGATTGTTGTATTATAAGATCATCATGAATTTATTTTTTGTTAATACAT